ATGACATCAATAATGGAGCTCAGCTTTTCCCCAAAACCTCGTACTGGACCTACTTGAACAGCTTTTTCCAATTCCAACCAACCCTTAAAGCCAAATTCATACATAAGATAACTTATTCTAAAAATAGCTGAAGCAACTCACAATAGAAAGAAAATGGATGAGCACCTTATCAGAGTGTAATTGATTAAGTTTTTCATCAGCAATCTCTTCACAACGCACAGTTGCAACCATTACCTGTTAAATAAAATGGCAAATCAATAAGAAAACCAAACAATTGTTACATCCCATCCTAAAAATAAGTTAATAGGAAACCTTATGAGCTGGAAGATCAAGATCCTTGTTTTCTCGTATGACTTTCCATATTTGTTGTGCACTAATAGAAAATGCAGAAGCAGGCACAACACCACGCCGATCACCTGCCAAACCTCCAGGGGCTATAGAATGGAAGAACCGCTGCCGTAATTGAGCAACCTGTATAAATAAGTGTAACTCTATATGATCCACATCATACCTGAGTGTTATTACTGTTGTAACAGAAGCTTATCATATTATATTATACTTTAACACCAGGATAAGGAAAGAACCCAAAACGGAAAGGTTCAATAGAAAAGTTTCTAAATTATCATTACTTGCAAAATCACTAGTATGCAGAAAACTACGAACCACACCAATCAGGTCTAAAAGCAATCAAATTTTAGAAATTTGAAGTCACTAAAGAACTAGGAAAAAGTATCCTAGCACAAACTCCAAAAGTGACGCACTATCTATTGAAAGGGTACCTCCTCCTTGAACTTATCCTCCTTGTCCTCATAGCTTGACAAAGCAGTAACCTCCACCTTCATTTGAAGATTCATCAATCATATACCATAATAAACACATAACAGTTGACACGTGAAAAGGGGAGATAGATAGGTCTTACAATAAAAAATTCACTGAGAGGAGTATGTTGGTGGGCTTGGGGCTTTTGAATGCTATCCCAAATCTGAGGAATTCATATCATGGTAAGCACTAAGGATGAATAAAAAACAGAAACCACAACAAGAGAAAAAAAAAAGTCAGAAATTAAATGGGAAACACACCTTCTGAATATCATCTCTTAGAATAGGCTCCAAATGTTCAAGTGGGGTCTGCACAGACAGCCAGAAACATGAAAAAACATCAAGTAGTAGAATACAACAAAAAGGGTGCATTCTCAAGAAAGGACCCATAATTCTAGACCTTTGTTTTATCACGTATCACGAAAAGCAATGTTGTTTTCCTGGGACTGAACAATCGCATCATGACCTACAAATACAAGAAGGATTGAGTGTAAAAACTCAAATATTGAATACCCAACAAGAGGTAAGTTCATGGCTAAAAACTACCTGAAAAACTGTTTTCAAAAGAGGTTTATTGGCTGCTTGTTCCCGACCAATATCATGACACCACCTGTGAAATAAAAATAACTTGTCAAAAATGGATTGAATGTTTCCACAATTTTTACTATAAGCTCCCATAAACCATCAGAGTTCTTTTTTACTTCTCATTAAATCCAATTACCAATTTGACTCAAAGAAAATACAGAAATAAGAAAGAACTGAGAGGACCCAGCTACAGAAAATGAAAAAAACGGTTACCCATATCACCTCCTTTTGCACCAGCCATTATGAGATGTATTATTTATAATCCATCCTACACTCATTGACATACAATGTGAATAAATCTAAATACCAAGTGTTAGGTGGAAAATAAGCTAGATTATCTTAAAACACAACTACTAGAATGAACAGGTAATACGCCAAGTTATTCCACCTAGACTTCGGTTAAGCAATGCATCTAGGGACTGCACAAAAACGTTGGGTGTGAAGTTATTAATAAACTTTTAAATAGTCAAGCATAGTTCCTTACTTCAAGGATTGGCCCAGAATATGATTCATTCAATCACTTATATAAAGCAATAATCAAGAGCTAAGAACTTACATGTTTATCAGAACAATATCTGATATTGCCAAGGCAAAAAGAGCACTCTGTTTCTCAAAAGCAGTGTCATCCTGAGAGTTATATTTAGAAAAAAAAAAAAAACAACGCAATAGTGAGTTCTGATGCACAGACAACAAAGAAAGAGAACAGATACATTTGCCAGTAAAAATGAAGCTACCAACTTGTTTTAAGGGGCACTGGTAGCATTTAGTTCAACTAAATATATGGTCAGGGCGAACTGATTTTTATAATATGCCTTGAAATTTACATTTACAAACAAAACAGTGAAGGGAAGCATCTTGCAAGAAAACTAACAGTAGATTTGAATCTCCAACTAGGTTTGTCAAAAAAGAACCTTTTTTTCTTATAGTATTTATAGTATACACCAAGCACAGGTTAAGAAATTATAGTATTTTCTTATAATATCATGTCATTCTTATCAGATGCACTAAATGCGACCAAAAATGACAAACAAATGAAACTGGTGTGATCATTACTGGTTTTATACCGTCTTTGTGTAAAAAATAACACTCACAATACCCTTATTCCACTAGGTGTTAGAAAATGAAAAAAATTCTAACACAGAATTGACTACCTCGCCCCTCTCCCTTCCATCAGTGCCCTCCAAATCCATAGCAATTGTGCTTGGCTCAATCCCGACACACTTGGCTATCCAGATGCCCTTGGTCGTTTGAGATCTGCAAAAATTTGATACTCAGTTAGATGCTCGCCATAAACTAGAACTATAACAGGCAACAAGAATGACAGTGACATTCAGTTTTCTCCACCCAAAACAACAGCTGAGTAATATCAGAATCAAACCTTCCCCTGAAAGCATCCATCTCCCTGAAGCTTGTGTGGAAAAGATGATTCATTAACGTGCTCTTCCCTGCACCCAAGAAAAACATAACATTAACTCACACAACTCCGCAAGAGAGAGAAACAGCCTAAAGCTAAAAAGAAACTGCACTCAATTGATAACCAAAACCAATTAAAACTACAAAATCAGAAACGGATATACATAGCAATGGCATCTCCAATAATAAGCATTATTTATTCTTTTCCACTATAATTATTTAGCATTCTCTTGCTCCTGATAATGAATACATCACATCTCAGCCTCACTTTCAAATTCCAAAACAAGTCACGTCAATCAAATGTCAAATTAAATCTAAACCTAGTCACTAACTACAACACTCCACTTCAAAGCAGACATAGACTCATAATACACGATACGATTGATCGATCGAAGCTCAACAAAAATGAAAGAGCCACAACACAAGTTCCAAGGAAGTAAATCAAGCATTCCAAACGAGCAAAGGGAAGGATCGAGACGCACCGCTACTCTGCGGTCCCATGATGGCGACGACAGCGTAGGAGAGGCCGCAGGGGGCGAGGTTGACGGTCTTGATGAAGTTGTCGAGACCGGCGACATTGAACTCACCGTCGCCGTCGATGAGTTGCGTGGCGCAGGAAGCGTCGTTGGTCATACCTCGCTAACGAAGCTGAAGTGAAGAGAGATCAGAGAGTTGAAGAACAGATTGCGAGGTTGGATCTCTGATTCGCTCGGCTTCTCTTTCAGTGCAGATTCTTTGATTGCGGTATGGGTTTGCTACTACTTACCAATACATTTGTATAAAGAGCGAAAAGGAATGAAGGGAAGAAACACGAGTCTTGTTGGCTTCTGTTTGACGTGCGTCCAATGACACGTGCCACTCGTATCCAATCAATCCACCTAATCCTTTTCGCTTTTGTCTCAAATTTTAAATTATTCAAAATAATTAAAAAAAAAACTAAGAATAATAATTAATGTAACTATGTTAGCAGTGAAATTACTTGTTAGGTAAGATAATAAATCCAATCACCGTAAAAATTGGATATTTTCAACTGACAAAACAAAATATATCAAATTAGGTGAGAACAGATAAAAGAAAAATTATATAAATCCTTTGTACAAAACTTGTTTAAATTTATAATTAATATATATATATATATATATAGTTTTTAAATTTAATCTAAGACTACTATAAAATAAATAAATAAATATACATGTCTAATAATGTTTACAATTTAGTATAAATTATGTTAGCATATATTATTAATTTTTACTCATAAAACATACAAGATAAGGATTTTTGTTATCTCATATATCTTAATTTTTATAATTTATATTGCAATTATATATTAATAGATTTCATCTGTCCACGATTTTATTACATAATAAAAAAAATGTGGTTACTTTGTACTAAGAGAAAAAATTATCACAAGTATAAGAAAGATATAATAATAAAAATTACACCAAAAATTGTTATCAAAGTTTATATCAGCTTTATTTATGTATATATTGTAATTAGATATAAGAGTGGGTAGAATTTACATGAATATTGCATATTAGATATAATAAAGGGATTAGTGAATTTTTTACTAAATTCTATACTGAGATTGAAAATTGGATCTTTACATTGTTGAGGTTTTGTTTTTTCTTGGTTTTTTTTAACTTGTTTTTAAATAAATTAAAATTTACATATAATTATAACAAATACATAACATTATAAGAAAAAAATTAAAAAATTAAGAATTATATATAGGTTTTAAGTTACTTATTTGGAATTCCCAACCTGATAAATTTAAAGTCAATAAACTTAAATTTTTCAATTAAATTTTAGATACTAAACAAATTTTATTGTTTTCCCTATCTTAAATATAACACTGTTACATATGTAAAAACTACCAGGCATTTGCACATTTGATTTATTTGTTATTCCGCTTTCAAAAATACCGTATTTATGAAAGTTTTAAATCTGATAATAACCCTAACTAATATTTTAATACGTGAATTACATAGAGTAATGCTATTTGATAAAAAGAATAATTATCATAAATAAATACTTCTAAAAATAAAAATCACAGGATAAGTAAAATTTGCAATAACTATACTTTAACAAAAAAATTTACTTTAGCTTTTATACAATTGTACATTGTTATTTTTATCTATTGCTATTTTATAAAAATATTTAAAAACTATAAATTTAAAAATTAATAAATTGAAAGTCAGAATTTTTTGATGTGTTTATTTCTTAATGGTATGAAACACAATTCATTTTCATATGAATGTTTGGAAACATACTAAAGTCTAATTAAATATCACAAAGTTATGTTGATAATTAATTTATTCCCTACAGTACGTTAAAAGAGGTTGAATTCTTGAACTTTTTGAATAAAAAGGCTTTTGTGAGAGGTTGTTTTTATTTTAATAATTCTTCAACTGTAACAATGATTAGTCCCCAATCATCAGTAAAAAGACATCTTACTTACACAAACAAAATATTATATTCGATTAAAGTACTCAATGACATTAATCTGGTCGAAAGTTTTTAACAAACTATTTAGTTTAAACTTCAAAATTTAATTGGAAATGTTTTCTTTTATCTACAGGTTAGCCTATTCAAATTATAATAAATATATTTAACTTTTTATAAAAATTTCATATTATATACATGTATATAAATCATAACAAAAATATTTGAATGTAAATATTGAAAACAATTTAAAAAAAATGTTATTAATGATAACAGTAGCCACCTACCAAGAAAACAAAAATGGAACTTTGTGATTTGATGAGTTTTAGATAGATAATTTGTGAAAATAAGGTCTTATTAATTATTAACTTTAGCTTTTAATAAATTAGAGTTAGGAGGTCGATATTCATTATGCTTATAAAATTTTGAATTATTTCCAAAAATAAAATGATTGAATTTTTTTGTTCAAAATTAAAATCAATTAATGTAACACATACTAAGTTAAGGAAATGTTTAAGTGAAATATAAATATTTATAGAGTTTAACAATTATGCATTGTAAATATATAAAAAAAAAACAAGAAAAACTCAACTGATATGCTTATATTAATATTTAATTTTCAGTTAAGTATATAAATAGACTTGTGACAATTTTGTCTCATAAACATATAAAAAATGGGGTATGAAATTTTTTGATGGGTGAAGTTAATTCTTAAATTTTGTGTAAATGAGTTTTTTTTTTTTTTTTAAGAAAAAGACATAAATTATAAAAAAAATTTTACAAACGTGGTTAGGGAAACAAATGTTTATAACTGTACACAATCAATTGAAAACTATCTATTATTATTAATTTCTCATATTCTAAATTAATATAATCAATAATAACATTAATATTTATGTGAATAAGTTTAATGTAATTATTCAATCACAAACTAATATATTAAAAAAAAATTGTATGATTTTTTTTTAAATATACATCATGTCAAGTAAGTTAGCTTGAATTTACACAAGGGATTCAAACTAAACCGATATTAATTGCGTTTTTCTATTTTTTTATTTTTAAGAATATATATAATTAATTAAAAATAAAAATAAAAATTTTATTATAAATCATGAGTGATTTAAAATTAAAAGATATTATTTATATAAAAATTGACTAATTTTTAAGTAATTTATATATAAATTTTATATCAAATTTTTTTAAACAAATCTTATTCACAAATTACTTTTTTTAATATGTCGTTATAATTATAATTTATGATTTTTGGATACGTTTAAAAAAATCTTTTGACGTTGGAGTTGAGGTAATACCTAATCCACCAATATGTATAAGTTTTGTTATTTTTTATTTTTTCTTTAAACGAATCAAATTTCAACTTCTATGGAACACAAGTAGATTAAAGCTGAAAATATTTATTTATATAGGATTTTTTTAAGTAAATTTGAGTATCAGGAATTGTTATTAAAAATTATTTAAAAATAATATAAATATTTTATTATAGATTTTATATTTAAATTGTTTTAAAATAAAAAATTATATGTATAAATAATTCTCACCAAATTTAAATAATTTAAACATGAGATTCATAATAAAATATTTAATTTTATTATTGAAAACTTAAAAATATGGTTTTTTTGGGCCCTTTTTAACCTCTCTCAAGTTAAATGTTATTTTCTCAATTGATTACTAATAACTAAATACCTATCAATTAATACATAGATATTTACCCTAAGACATTATTACATTAATTGTGTGGTAACCTAAATTCATTAAATACTCAATAAAAAAATCTTTATTTATTTTATCATAAGTCTTTTCATGATTCGCCTACATCATTACCAATTTATGTTTTCTCATACTTGTGGATACGACCAATTACTTCACGCGCTAAATGTAAATATAATAAAGGAAATATTTATTTAAATATTTTATCCTTTTATTAATTTAAAAAATTATCTTCCAATATTTTTTATGACTGACAAGAAGTTTTCTATCCAGTTAATATACATAAAAGAAATAAAAAAACTGTTAAAAAAAATAAAAGAAGTTAACCCTGCACCCCCTCCTCCTCTTCATTTGACATAGTTGCGGGATTAGTGGTTCCACACACTGCATTGAAGACTCATTGGCGACAACCAAGACAGAAATGCAGGTCAGTTTTCCGTCTCATTCTGAGGTTACGGAGTTCCGGAAAAGAGGCTTTCGTAGGGGAATTGGTTTCCAAACCAGACTAAAAACAAATCCGATCAGATCCTATCATACATACGATCATGCATTGTTGTTTTTAACTTCTTATCAGAACAAATGTGAATCTCTCTCTCTCTCTTAATTCAGTTCTCACCTTCTTACTTGGGCACAATCGCAACCTAACTCTGACGCATCGCTCATTGTTCACTTTCTGGATGCTCTACTAGAATTTTGTATGCTGCAGTAACTGAGAGCACTTTTGGAAGAGAAAAAGAACAAGCAGACGCCTGTGAGGTTTGGGTTTCTATTTCGATCCTCTGTATAAGTTGGTTTTTCAGTTAAGTCATTCTGCAAGTAAAATTTATGCTGATTTTGTTATCGTTTTTGCTTTTCTGTTTTCCCCTTACCTCAGTGAATCTAGTTATGCGTTGAAATTGTCAACTTGTTGATATTAATCTTCTCATAGGTTTAGTTGGAAGGATGTTGTGACTGTTTCGTATATTGGCGTGCATGTATTAGTTTCTCAGAGTAAAGAGTCTTTGCTTGTATTTTGTTTATTTCGATAGTGTCTCTGGACAATGGATATGCTTTACGTTGGATGCTAGTTTTGATTCTTTGATATTTGAATTATGTAGATGAAGATGTAAGATCTGCTCTTTCTTTTTTATCTCTTAATTGAACTAATGGTGAATTGATTACTGTGGTTCAATTTGGGCATGCAAGCAAATATAATTTATAGAGAGAAAATAAGACTTTCATTAGAACATGCTCTCTATATGCTATTGCTCGCCCAAAGATCCAAACACATAAAATTGATACTTCTGTGTGGTTTTTGTCTGCTTGCAATGTTGAGAAAAATTATCATTTTGTAGGTTTTACACTGTAGGATGGTTTTACGAGGCACTGGAAAATGCTTCCAATTTCTTTGCTAGGTCTACTCGAAGGCCTATTGAATGATTATGTCTTGTTAACCAATTTGTTATTTCAAGGACATATCTTATGATTTGTTTAACTGCATTTTGGATTAATAGTTTACATATTTTTTGAAGAGTAATTCTCAGCCAAATTTAACAAAAGATGCAGGAATCCCCAGAGCCAAGACATGAATTTTCGGTGAGTCAACGAGTACATGCATTTGGTGATCCTCGTCGAGTCGGTACAGTTAAGTATGTGGGACCTGTAGAAGGTTATTCTGACACTTGGGTTGGAGTTGACTGGGACAACGGAGAAGGCAAACATGATGGATCCATCAATGGTGTCCGCTACTTCTGTACTAAGTCAGAAAGATCAGGGTCATTTGTTCGTGCCCACAATCTGAACCAAGGGATTTCATTGCTGGAAGCTCTTGATCGTAGATATAAAAGTGACTCTACAAAAGATGAAGAGGGTATATCTCAGGCTTAAATTAATTTGTAGTTAAAACATTTATATTCAGGGTTCATGAGTGAGGGTGAAAATAGTTTCATTTTATTTATTGGGATGAAATAAAAGAAGTCAACTTTGTTGTAGTTGGGTTGTTTTCTCTATTCCTTTGATCAAACAATTACTGCAGTTGTTTGGTTTTGTTGTTTTCATTCTTTGTTGGGTTTGGGTGGAGGAGGTTGTTCTATTGACATGTCTTAAATAGGTGAGTATAGTGGTGGGATACCATTTAATTTGAATGCTAAGTTCTATTATAATACTCTACTACAACTTGTGAAATTGGTTGCTTGGTGCTTAGTACTACAATTTTGTAATTATATTTTACTATTATAAATTCTCTAAATTATGTTAAGTAGAAAGACAATAGTGGTAGAGAAAATCCTCTAAGAAATGTACAATTGACAAATTATTCATTTTGAATTTTGAGCTCCATACTCTTCCTGCATGTTGTTATATCTATTTCCAGATTGTTAGAAGTTGATTTGATATTGTTAGATGTATTTTATGTATGGGCCTTAGGTCCATCACTATGTAATCCATGTACAGTGTATATGTGTTCATTTGTTGTGCTTGAGTCACACAAGGATTCCATTACATGACTCTTTACCATTTACTTTAACATGGTATATCAAAGCCCATGCAGGTGTTTGGGAATAGGCCCGATTGTACACCAATGATATTCAACGTCTTTATGGTATTTGCTGAAATCTTAGTTTCATTGACCCCTATCGCATTGAGGGCTCTATGCCAGAGTAGTTGGGCAAAGTACATGGTCTTCTACACTACTTCAATGAACTATTGCTACCTATTGCCACACTAGCCTAGGAACTAAAGCAACAACAAACCTTCTTTATGTTCATGGTCCCCCCAGAAATTTTTTGGGACACTTTTTTGGAACAACAATGCCCGAGTCTGATTTAATAGATGTCCATTTTTCCTCTCTACGACCCCATTCTGTTGTGGTGTTTTGACACAAGAGGACTCATGAATTATACCTTCTTTTTGATAAAAAGAATTAATGACATGATTGAAGTAATCTGTGGCATTATCTGACCTAAGCCTCTTAATATTAACACCAAACTGATTTTTTATCATGGAGTGGAAGTTTAGGAATACAAAACTGACTTCTGATTTTTGTTTAAGTAGGAAAACCCAAGTGACCCTTGTACAGTCATCTATAAAGGTGACAAACCATCGAGTACCAGACACATTTGGAATATTAGAAGGTCCCCATACATCAGTATGAACAAGATAAAAAGGGAAATTGCTAATTCTATTACTTATTGGAAAAGATATACGTTTGTGCTTAGCAAGTTCACACACTTCACAATGAAGACTCTCAACATCTAACTTGGTAAACAGAGAGGGAAATATAATTTTGATCACTCCAAAAGAGGGATGTCCCAACTGACAATGATAAAGCATGATTTTTTCTCTGTTGGTCATCAAGGATTCAGATATGAAGGAGTGAGAGATTCTATTCTTGCTGGGCAGACTTGGATCTTCGAGATAATAAAGGCCTTTTTTTTCCTAGATCTGTCCTTTAAAAATTTCTCTCCTACCCATAAAACTTTCCTAGTAAACCTAAACATTGTACTTCTACCTAATACCCTATCTGAGGCATTGTGTGACAGAAAATGGAGGCAAGCCATGGATGTAGAGATGGAGGCATTGGAGAAGAACAACACCTGGGAGTTAGTCACCTTACCAATAGGAAAGAGGTAAGTTGGATGTAAATGAGTCTATACAGTGAAATACAAGGTTGATGGATCAATTGAGAGATATAAGGCAAGACTAGTTGTCAAAGGGTTCACCCAAACCTATGGAGTTGATTATTTGGAGACCTTTGCTCCGGTTGCCAAAATGAACACAGTTAGGGTGATATTGTCCCTTGCTGCCAATTATGGTTGGAACTTGGAACAATTTGATGTTAAGAATGCTTTCCTACATGGAGACCTTGGAGAAGAAATCTATATGGAGATACCTCCGGGATATGGTAAAGATGTTGCTGCCAACACTATTTGCAAGTTGAAAAAGACATTATATGGGTTAAAACAGTCCCCCCGTGCATGGTTTGGCAGGTTTACTAAAGTTATGACAGGTCTGGGTTACAAACAAAGCCAAGGGGACCATACTTTGTTTTTTTAAACATTCCAAGTCAGGGGGAGTAACAATATTATTGGTGTATGTGGATGACATAATATTAACTGGAGATAATAAAGAAGAGCAACAATTATTGAGCCAATGCTTAGGCAAGGAATTTGAGATCAAGACCTTGGGAAAACTAAAATATTTTTTGGGAATTGAAGTTGCCCACTCTAAGAAAGGGATATTTATATCTCAACAGAAATACATCACTGATTTGCTCAAGGAAACTGGCAAGGCAGCTTGCAAACCTGCTAGTACCCCATTAGAACCAAACCTAAAACTTAGAAATGCAGAAGAAGATGTTGCTCGTTGAAAAAGATATGTACCAAAGATTAGTGGGCAGACTTATATATTTGTCGCATACCAGTGCCGGATATTGCCTATGCAGTGAGTTTAATTAGCCAATTTATGCATAGCCCAAAGGAGACCCATTTACAAGCTGCCCACAAAATTTTACAGTACCTTAAAGGAACTCCAGGAAGAGGGATTCTATTCAAAAGGAATGGTAATGTGAAGCTTGAAGCCTATACTGATGCTGATTATGCAGGGTCAATTGTGGATAGGAGGTCAACTACAGGATATTGCACCTTTCTTGGAGGAAATCTTGTGACTTTGAGAAGCAAAAAGCAGGGTGTAGTGGCTCGGTCTAATGCTGAAGCAGAATTCCGAGCCATGACACAAGGTATATGTGAGTTGCTATGGCTTAAAATCATCTTAGAAGACTTAAGGATAAAGTGGGAAGAACCTATGAAGCTCTATTGTGATAATAAGTCAGCAATCAGTGGAGCCCACAACCCAGTGCAGCATGATAGAACAAAGTATATTGAAGTAGGCAGACACTTCATCAAAGAAAAGCTTAATAGTGGCTTGATATGCACTCCATATGTGTCCTCTCAAGACCAAATTGCAGACATTCTTACCAAGGGACTGGGCTGCCATAATTTTGAGAAGATTGTATCCAAGCTGGGAATGGAAAACATCTATTCACCAGCTTGAGGGGGAGTGTGAGAAATTAAATAGTATTTTAGGAAAGAATAAATCAGGAAATTTGTATATTTCCTTGTAATCTATAAAGATTTGAATAATTAGGAACAATCCCATAAATCAAGGGATCCTAGCATAAAATAGAGTTATTATATTTCGTAAAATAGCTTAGGTCTCCTGTATATATCTTATATCATCTCTTTGTATTGAAATAACAAAAATCATATTTCAGTTAATCTAATTTTCCAGAGTTGGTATTGCCAATCTTCAGATTTCTCTTTTCATTGATCATGTCCTTTATATCCTTAAGTCTCTGTTTAATTTATTATTTCTTAGTTGTTTAACCCATGCTTATGATTGTGTTCTTTCTTTTACTAAAGATTATTTTCTTATAGATCGGAGTTAAGAATGGATGATTGATGCCAAATGAGTTCCAAGGTCCTTACCTGCTTAGGACCTCTGCCCATGCAGAATTGATGGTGGCTGCCCCTTCTCTCAACCATGCACAATTGGGTCATCTTAACCTTGTCAAGTTGCAACATGTTGTACCGCATGTGTCTAAGTCTTCTTCTTTGTTGCGTGAGTTGTGTCAATTAGGAAAACATAGTCAGTCTTTTTGCTTGGAGTGTTCCCAACAGATCTTTGTCTCTTTTTGCTTTAGTTCATTAGGATATTTGGGGTTTGAGTCATGTTAGGTTTTCTTTAGAATTTATGTACTTTTGTAACATTTATTGATTTTTTTTTTTTGTGTAATTGGTTGTTCTTAATGTAAAATCGTTTTGAGTTGTTTACCATATTCTAATCTTTATATAATGAAGTTACAAATCAATTTTGTGTTGATCTGTGAATACCTCTATCATTCTTTTTGGACCTTCATAGCTTCCCATGTTATTCTTCATTAGACCTTGTGTTTCTATACCCCCTCAGCAACATGGGGTGGTGGAGCTATGGAATAGAAACCTTACTAAAATCACTCAAACCCTTTTACTTCATGGCCCATCTCTATGTAATCCAATATTTGCTGTGCTTGCGCCACACAAGGATTCCACTACATGACTCTATCATTTACTTTAATAGATACGAAGCCTTGAGATCAATTTATGTTCTTTTAGTAATATTTTCAATTTTTTCCTTTGGGGTAAGAATTGAGAAGGCATTTACTATTTTATTCAAAATTTATCCCATCCATTCTAAAATAACTTTTTTTTACATTCTAGCATGCTTCTGTACATTTTTTTTTTCGTATGCATTCACTGACAAAACCTGGAAAATAAAATGTAATTTTTCTTCTTTTTGTGCAGATGAAATGTATGTTCTTTCAACAAGCAACCAGCGAGTATCTGTTCAACTTTTGGGTAAAGATAAGATTCAAGATAAGCTAAGAAGATTTGAGGAATTAACCACAGCATCATTGTCATATATGGGCATTAGTTCCCCTGGAATCCCTTCTCACATTAATAACACAGTGCCAAGTAAGCTTCTCCCATTTCTTTGCTAATATCAAGATCAATGCACATCAACCTATGTATATCAGTGATTCTGTTTTATTTTGAGATAGAATTTAGTCCCAGTGAATTAGTTGCTTGTACCTTGTGTTTTTATTTTTGGTTAAGCTGTTTCGAACTGAAGTTATGATTGGAAACTTTGATTATTTGATATCTTGTTACATCCTGTAAGCAATTTTAGCACAGCGGTTGTGATTTTCTCTTTTTAGATATCTTCAGGATCCTTGCACTTTAACCACCTTTTGTTTTGTGGTGATAGATATAGAAGAACTTGACCTGACTGGGAACCTTCTTTCGGAGTGGAAGGTATGTTCTGCAACCAGGTTTTGTCTAGTGTTCAATCCTGGCTACTACTGCAGCTTCTTATTTATTTCAACGTACCATGCAGGTCTTACCAAGAACTTTAATGATTTGAGTTTTTGATTCAACTTATTCTGGAGAAAGAATAACTGTTTTTACTAGCTTCCTAATAGAACTTTTGAAGAGGAAAAACACAATTAATACGTGGGAAATAAGCTTTCCCAAATTTGTGCAAAAGTTGGATGTTTTTCAATTGCTAAATTCAAGTAGCATTTTGGTTGGAATGTCTGTATTATGAAATTCTCCTTTACATTTTAATATTTGATTATGATTACTAGGATTTAGAAATTTCTTTTGCATTTTCTTTTTGTATGAGAATTTGACTAATTAGTTTAATCTTATTTTAATTTTGGTACCATGGCGACACTAATTTGAGCATATTTCTATCTACTTATGCAAAAACTACCAAAGAACTTCCCCATCCTTAGTGGCTTATTACTTTATAATTATAATGTTAGTGCTTCATTGTTTTAGAATTCTGAGTTAGTTAGAGCGCTGTAAATACTTGATTTGTAATTTAGTAACTCTTGGGTTGAACTAATTTTTCATGAAATCTAAATCTCTTCTGTTCTATACTTCCTGAAATCTGAGTTTTCTCCCAACCTTAATAAATAGTAAAGCAGTAATGGGTCTCACTAATGACAGATGCTATTGCCTTCATCCACTTATTTACTTGGTTGTTGCCTCTGAATTGTTAGAGGCTATTACTAATTATATGCATATATTCAGAGGAATAGAGAGAATTACGGTGAGAATGCGGAGGAAAAGGGGTACTCTTGAAACAAAAGAATAAGGCACAGTATAACAATGCTTCCAAGCTCAATATATCTGTTAGAGAAACCCTGTAAAAAATGTCATGACAAATAAATGCCAATCAACCACATAATATTATCCCAAGTGATGTAAAACAAACCTCCTTAAAGATTTGAGTTTTGCTATAACCAAATACACCATATTGTAGTATATATATATATATATATATATATATATATATATATATATATATATATATATATATATATATATATATATATATATATATATATATGGATTGCACATTGCGTCAAAAGTTAGCCTCTTTAATTCTACCTAAACCAGGAAAGCTAACCATGACTCCATGAGATCTTGGACACATCCTACATTTACAAAAAACGTTGAATAAGGAGTTCCATGTAGACAGTAGAACAATGTAAAAACAAATTATGTACACATTTTTAGCAAACCCTATATTTTACACATGTGTCATGGGAAATAGCTTATATGGCCTATGAATCTGCAACTAATGTTAACTCTACTGTGTACCATACTATAATCCAATTAAATGACTTGACCTTAGAGAGAGCCTTGGATTTTTGCAATAGTTTATCAAGAAGAAAAGTGACCCTATTCAAGGAATGAATGATGGTGATAGGGATGTCAAAGTGAGCCAATCCAACTCACACGGGTTGGCTCACTATGAGCTGAGTTGAAAATAGGCAAGATCTACCCAACTCACTTTATGGCAAATCAGAAATTTCACAACTCGGCTCAACCTACTATAGGTTGGTGGGTTGACTCACTAACCTATATTTATTTTTTTATTCTTCAATTTTTTTTTTCTAATAAGCATGACTAAATTGCGAGACTGAAACATAGTGACACGGTGACAAACGTTGTGATGCGACTAAAACACGACAAACGTTGTGGCATGACTGAAACACAACAAACGTTGTGGTATGACTGAAACACATCAAACGCTGTGGCATGATGAATGTATTGGTGCAACTAAAACATATTGTGCGGTGGGAAGGAGGGGAGGGGAAGGGTAATGTGGAGGCAAATGGTCTCGGTGGGATTTGATCTCACGATTACACTTTCCCATAGGGATTGGTGTTATTTGTACCAAAGCTAATGGACTACGATATAGTTCATTGTGTTGTTTAATCCGGTTTTCTGACCTGTTTTAGAGATATTTGACTTGAACTATGCATGGAAACAAAAAATATTTTTAATGATAACATCACACCAATGACATTCTCAGGTCCTCTTTTTGTAACAATCAATCTCTCTAAAATAAGGAAATACAATATGCTGAAATTAATAAGAAATTTCTTTATTATCAATATGGAAATCCTGAAGATTTTTTTTATCCAAATAAATCACTATTTTTATTATCTACATCCTTGCCCCTTTTTTTAACTCTTATAATCACCTTTTTCTATTAAAAAACCAATGCACTGATCACGTGTGAACCCCCTTTTGCTTGGTTTTGTTTGGCCTACTATTTGTTAGTGGCTGATTAAGGGTACTTGCCATTTATTTTCTTTTCAATTGATCTCTTTGCAGGATGTTGGCACAATTTGTGAGCAGTTGTCTGCTCTGAGAACATTAAATTTATCTAACAATTTAATGTCACCATATAAATCGGAGCTTCCAATACTGAAAAGCATCCAAGTTCTGGTTCTAAATAATACTGGTGTAGATTGGGAGCAGGTTCCTTCCTTTTCTAATTTGTCTCTCATAAATATCCTCAATGGTATAAAAAGGAATTGCTAAATATTTCCCTTTTAACTGGGCAGGTTGAGCTGCTTAGACAATCATTAACAACAATTGAAGAGCTACATATAATGGGAAACAATATAAGCAGAATACTGGTACGTTTCCTTTGGTTCAATATGTTTGCCAAATATCTTAAAGCCTGTAGGCTTAGAGTCTTACCCCAATTAGAGGGCAGCATATTAATAAACATTAGAGACTGTCACAATCTTTTAAGTAGCCCAAAACCTGAATTTATGATGTTCAATTTGGGGCATCTGAAGAACTGATCTCCCCCTTCCTCCATTTTGATTAGCCACAACACTAGATTTTCTCAAGTGATGGTCTTAAAATGCTTGCTGAACATATTTAGGGAATAGCAATGTGGATATAACAGTTTCACATTTAGATGTTTTGTGATTTTCACTATCGCAATGAAATAAAAAATTCTAAGTTTTCCCTAGAGATTTTTGTAATATAGAGTACAAATGCAGGTCATTATTTTCAAAGACACATTTAAATGTTTACAATTTTTAGTTTTTTTTTTTTTGGTACAAGTTAAATTTGAAAATTGGAAAATGTAAAACAAGAATTGAAAAGCAGAACAAAATTGAAAACTGAAAACAAGAAGATAGGAATAGATAAATCCACAGTTTCAACAACAAACAATCCTCTTAACATAGTTCTTTAAAGATTTTAATCCAAATTTGAACAATTAATCGATTCAATTAATCACCTAAACTAGTTATATAAATTAAATCTCAATATCATTCACTCTTATTCGCATTTAGTTATCAAATAAAGATTCAATCAATTCTTAATTTGATTTCTAAAATCAGATTCCAAATTCATGTCACAAAGTGTAAAACTGAAATTAGAGAAGAGAAAAACAAACTTGGAGCGAGAAACTATTGGTACAAAACTCAATTTGGCTTATTTGATATTGTTTCCGTGAATTGATCCTTAAGATTTATTTCTCCATGGATGAAGAACACAAACCAATTCAGAGCAGAACAAAAGAGAAGAATAGGAAAAATCAAAACAAAAATGAGAGAAAAGAGAAAATATAGAGACACTTCCTAAACTGAAAATCTAATAAAATGATTTTTAGATATTAGTATAGAGCATATTTAGACCATTTAAAGACTCTCAAGTCCATTGTTTTGAAAATCGGACCGGATCGGATAGTTCAACTGGTCTAATAAGGAACCAAACTAAAATCGGTCTGTTTTTAAATAACCAAATTTTAATTAAATTGGGATAATACCGGTTGGATTTTTTGTCAAACCGGTTTTGGTAAAAAAAAAATTAGGGTCAAATTTGTTTTAATATAATTTTTTTTATAAAAGATATAATATATTTTATTTTATTTTACTTTTTTATCTCACATTAGTTACGTCAACTTTAAATAATAGTTATTTTATCTTATTTTAACAATTATCCATCTTACACTCTAATATATTTTATATATGTAACTTTCATTGTAACTTATGGCGATCATAACGGTAATTTTTATTATTTTTTCTCTTTTGTAAAAATACATTGTTACAAATGAATTTAATATTACATTGTTGTTAAATCCGATAGGATCCCGGTTGAATATTTAAATCTTGAACCAATATCTGTACCGATTTAGTGACTGATCCGATTTTAAAAACATTGCTCAAGTCTGAAGCAAACACGAGCCTAAATGTGGGCTCTAATTAAGTATATAAACCCAATTCAAAAGTTAAGCTAATACAAAGAAAATCTAATTAGCATAGTAAATATATCTCAACTTCTAAAAATAATGAAAAATATCTAAGAACTCAAAATCCAACAAAGTATATATCCGTTTGAAAGTATTGGAAATGTAGAATCCAATGCAACTTGAATCAACCAAAAATAATATCTATAGAAGAAGTTATGGCCAAAACAGTGAACAAATGTTAGATGAGCTAATAATACAAAATTAAAACAAATATATACATTGAATCTAATTTCTTACTTTTAGAAGGAAATGAGTTTAAAACTAAAAATAAAGGATATGAAAAATGCATTCCTTGAACAATAAAACTATAAATGTGTGTACAACATATGTACTGTCATTTTGTTCAATGTGATTTCTCTTGTCTGATGTGCTACACTATTTCTGTTTTGACATTAAAATTTAGAGTACATGTTTTTTCTCGGATGGTTATAATTCTTTTTGTACTTAGGTTTTCTATTTCACGTTTAATTTTATGTTGCTCTTCAATTTCTGATCAACTTTTAATATAAATTACTAGTATTTCAAATCCTTCTAATTTTCCTTTTCTGTTTAGCCTGGGTCATCCTCTATGGTTCAGGGATTTGATTATCTGCGGCTATTGAATTTGGAAGACAACTGTATAGATGAATGGGATGAAATCATGAAGCTTTCTCATCTAAGATGGTTGGTAAAGACAATTTTGTTTAGTTCTAAAATACAGTCCTGATATCGTTTTGGAACTGATTCTATCTTAACTTTTAACCATATCTAACTTTAACAATAAAATCTACTTCCATGTTGGTCATACCTAAAATTATAACTTAGGACTTGATCTAACCAGTTAACAATTTAGTTAATCCATTATCGTTACACTTAACTACTTGTTGTGTGGTTGGTGTTAGGAATCTTGTAAATTTTGATCATGTAATATATTGGGTAAATATAGAAATATTGTAATTAGGATACTATGAGCTGTATAATTATGTTACTCTTGGCTACTGTATTTGTAACTGTAATTATAAGAGCTTCTGCTGTGTACTCAAGACACACGGATTCATTCACACGACTTCTCGTTTTCCTCCCTCTCAACAGCAGTTGCATGATGGTGATTTATAATTAAAGTGAAATATGGTTAAAAGTCACAGGTGGTATCTCTATCACTGGAAGTACTGATTATATCTTAGAACTGGTCATTAGTATTCAGTTCTTTCTCGTTCCTGTTTTTCTTCCCTAGAACAATGCCTTGCTTTTGGGTAGATTTTTTTTAAGTCTGTTGATTTGATTTATTTATATATACAGTTATTTATTTATTTATTTTTTTTTTCAGTTTGGAGAAGCTTTATTTAAACAAGAATTGCTTGAATACTCTCTTTTATCCTGATAATGATGGGCAGTATGAATCCGAAGTTACATGCTATAAACCCTTTCAAAATTTACGCCACCTTCTATTGGGTAATATTATTATTTTCCTCTTGATAAATATAATTTTCAACGTATTCCAATGAAATCTGGATTTTGGATACTAGTTGAAGGCTTTCAATTGATGTTTCAGGTAATAACAACATTGGTGATCTGGCCTCTGTTGACTCATTAAACTTGTTTCCTAACTTGGTGGTAAGGTTTATGCTGTCAAGTGTGGAACATCCTTACATATTTATATAAATTCTTGATTACGCATGCCATGGTTGCTTTGCTGTATCTGTAATAATGAGTCTAGGACTACCTGCTATGATCCTAAGAAGATAAAGGAATTAAACTTCTCCTAAGAGTTAGAATTAACTTATGCATTTCAAATTTTATGGAAGTTATCTCATCTAACTTCTTCAAAAGTTTAGGTCAAAAAGTTGGTTTTAACTTAATTCATTTTGCTTTTTAGTTTCTTGTTCTACTTCTTCCATGACCTATATCAAATAATCCATTTGAAAATGGTAATTTGGGATGCAATTCAAGATTATTTTATATCTACAGTTGCCTAAATACTGCGTACTGGTCTATTACCTTTACAAGTTTCTTTGAGAAAGTAATTTACTTGCTTATGACTTTTCTTTCCTCGTCACCATAGGTACCATTATTCTTTTGTGTCACTTTTCTTCCCCTTTCTCTTTTTTATATTTTTTATTTTTCACTTGTTTATTTAGAGCTGATTTTTACAGATGCTAGCTTCAATTCTAATTATTTATCTTTAATTACAACGAAGGATGTCAGGCTTTCTGAGAACCCAATTACTGATTCTAGAAAAGGTGGGGTTTCAAGATTTGTTTTGATTGCTCGTTTAGCAAAACTTCAGATATTAAATGGAAGTGAGGTATGGCAGAAGATATATCTGTTGCTCAGTTGCTTCTTTTATATACACTTTGCCCAAACATAATGTTTCATGTCTGCTCTACCATTCAGGTTACTCCTCGTGAAAGGAAGGACTCTGAGATTAGGTATTTTTCTCAAATTCGATCTTATATACCCTTTTGGCAATTAAAGTATGAAGCATCCTTAAAGGTCATGAATTCTGTGTATTATTTTGTCATGCATTTTCTCTGTCTTTTTATTAGTGTCGTTCTTGAGTTTAACTTGTAGATGTTCAAATCCTCCAGGCAGTATATGATTTCAGAGAATATTCAAACTTATATGTTGCTCTTATGTTCTCTATTTGTTTGCTGTTCATATTTGGTTTATACTCATTTGGACTAAATAATTCGTTGGAGACCTGATTTGTTTGCCACCCTGTAATTCAGTGAAATTACATTCCTTCCTTGTCATTCCAGAGGGTAATAGGGGTGAATGACTTTCTTAGCATTGTGTGCAAAAAGTTCAATTTCCTTCTTAGATGGTGGGTCGTTCGTGGGATGCCTCTTATTGTCAATGCTGGTCATACATGACTTGTAGTGTTAGATACTTCTCTTTCATGGAATCTAATCGTTTCTGTCCGTTAACTTCCGATCAATTTTCCTTATAGAAGAGGAAATGAAATTTAGGGACCACCATTGACTCAATTTTTGAGGGTATCTCCTTTCTAGAACATGTCTCAGTTAGCTTGCTTTTTTCTTGGCCATGTCTCAAATAAGCTTAAGACAAGTGCACCTCCATAACCTTTCTGAAAAAGTTGTAGCTTCGAATACCAATGTCACTAGTGCCTATACCTAGAAAGTCAATTCCAGCTGGGTACTGCATAGGTATTCCACACAGTCAAACATGTTTGATTCATTGGGTCATCCAAATAATTGTTAAAAGTTAAAACGGGGATTGTTGTGGGAGAAATAATTTAACCTGTTTCTAGCATTCATTATTATGAAATTTGAAGTATTACTTCTGTGGTTAGATTCCTCTTTATGGACTGACCATTAAACCCTTTTTTATTCTATCAATCTTAATACATAAGATAAGTGAGCCTTTTCAGCCATTTGCCTATCTTTTGGGTTGAGTGTTCAATTAAATGTTTACATGTAATTAGTGTATAATATGAAGCAACACCATCTTTTTATTCTTATACATTATTTACAATTCTTATGCAGGTATGTTCGGTTCGTGATCTCTAGGTTGCATACTAGTCCTGAAGAAATCAAACAGCATCCCAGGTAAATTCAGGGACAGTATCTGGAACATTTGCTCTAGCATTAATGTTCAGTATATGTTTGTGATGACTTTTGAAAGCTGGGTGAAAGTGCTATTAGAAATCAGTAGCTCTAGGTTCTGATGGTATTAGAGGAGCAAATATGTAATAGTGGTTCAGGATGTTCAGATTTTTTTAAATCTGGTTAAAGATGTCGGTCAGGTCTAGTGAACAAGGTAGTTGGGCTTCAATCATAAACAAAGAGGAACAAAGGAAACCTAGGTTTTACAGCTTGTGTTCTTAGGCATTATGTCTGAGAGATGCTTAAATTGACTAGGTGGCTAAGGTTAATAGCTCTTAATTTGTTGGTTTTGTATTTTTTTTTTGGTGGTGGTATTCAAGAAGGTGGAGTTGAGTTGTCTCGGTGTTTTTCCCTAGTTGTGTAATGAAGTGGTGATTTCAGTTTTTGAAGTTTTTTTCATCAAAATATAGGGATGTAATGAAAATGGGAATAAAATAGAGTCAAAGGAAACACAATATATAAAATATAGTTCCTCAAACAGATTAGATATTGTGATTATGTGATACTACAATGAAGATTATTCAATGACATGTATACCCTTTTTTTTTAGTACACAACAAGGAGTCACTTATTAAGAGTTTCTTAAGTACATTACTATTTAATAAAACACAACAAGTAATCACTCAACTGTTAATATTTATAATTTCTCAACATTGTGAAAATATTTTAAGGTGGTTAAATCCCATTTAGTGAGGTTTATTTTATTTTGGTTTTATCTTTTTACGAGTTTACTTGTGATTATGTTGTGATCTCTATGGCTTCCACTATCCAACTTGTTTAGTTCATTTGGTCTGCCAACAAAAAGAGCTCGATGCCTCTGGATTGGTTGTTTTGCCTAGTAATTGGGTGATGTGTTCAAGCTACTGTCGAGGAAACCTGGCTATAAAATAGGTTTAACTTGTCAACACTTAACAGAGTAAAAAAGTAAAGAAACTATTCCTTTGCTGTAGTTTTTTAATGCGGAGCTTACTATAGCTTTTTGTTAAAAGTTTTACATCACCTGTCTCCTATCCTATCATATGGTATAGGATTTAAATACTTATTAAGCTATTCCACATATTATCAATTGATTTTATGTTAGAACCTTAAGATGGAATTAGAGCAACAACCTAACTTCTTTTCGGTTATTATCTTGGGCCAAAAGTTACCCTTAAAATACTCTTTGTCTAGTCCGGCAGGCTTAGTTGGAAGGGGCGTGTTGAAAGTCTCACATTGTCTGCCTCATGTCATATGATATGATTTAAATACCTGTTAGGCTACTCCACATATTTCCAATTGGTTTTATGTTGGGACTTTAAACCTTTTACTAAGCAACAATCAAATGCTATCCATATGATATTGATGGGTGTCATTATGTAGACTTGTATGTTGATTTCACGGCCAATTTGTGATAACAATTTTGGCACTAGAGGCGTGTTCTAGAAGAAGAAAAAAATTGTAGTAAGCAGAAAGCAAGCACCCAAAAAAGCTCGGAGGCAAAGAGACACCTTTGAGGATGTGAGCATGCTGCCCCAACCAAGAGAACCAATGGACTGCATGTTGCATTCAGCCTCAATTATATCAGAAACTTAATAAGGGTCTAACCAGAACCGCACTAATGTTGTGAGTTACACTTGGTGCTCATCAAGAGTCCTTTATGATTGTTCCAAAGAATGTTTTGTGCTTTACCATGCTTACTTAAATGGTCTTATTTTATTTAATTGAATTTGCACAGAACACGTGTTAGAAGAGTTCTGTTACTGTAGATATTAATTGAAACTGGATATAGTTGGGATTATCAATTAATTTCTGACTCACATTGAGCAATGTTTTGTGAATATACGGGTGCACGTTGCTATAGGTTGTACGAGCTCAAGAAGATTCATGGAATTGAGGATGAAAGACCTTCAATTGGAGCTACTGCCCCTCAAACAATCAGCTCAGGATTATTGTGTATGGACTACGGATGTTGATTTTGTATGTCTGATTGTTTTTCTAATTTGAGATATCCTTATTTTGATATTGAGATTAATGCAGCTATCACTTTGAATTGTGTTGGAGCATCCATGGGTGAGAAGCCACCATTGACAAAGAAGCTGCCAGCAACAACTACAGTTAAACATCGATTTTACTCTAGTAATGTTTAGTCTTTAGAGACTTAAAACTACCCTTCTGATTACCTTGTTTTTCTAAGGTTGGTAAGCTGAAATCTCTATGCGAAAGCTTTTTTAAGCTGAAGTCCATGAAGCTAAAGTTATATCTTCAAGAAGAGGTTTGCCTTTATTAAGAATAAGATGTGCTATTTAGTATCTTGTTCGCCTGATTAACTGATTCAGATTTTCCTAAATGGGAAGCAGCAACCTCTATACAATCTTAAGAAATCATTGTATTCTGCCCTGCTTGAATAAAATAATTTCAAATTTATATTCTGGAAACCAATTTATGACGAATTTCTTGTGGAGAATGAGGGAGGGACGACGAAGGACTATAAAAAGCGGATGGTCATACTTTTTATTATATCTTAAAAAAAATTTGCAAGATAAAGGAACAGTGCAGCAGAAGTTGAGTATCTTCTTCTTGACTTAGTTACATGTCTTTGCATTTGCAGGGTTCCCCATTTCCTCAGCTGCTTGACAATGACACTTCATCTCTTATGGACCTTGGAATTGGAAATGATTCTGTTGTCCTTGTAGACGAAGAAAGGTCATAAATATATTTATGAAAAGGTTCTCATGGGTTGAAGACTGTATCTTGTTCGGACTAGCCCCGATTACTCTTGGAAGTACGGCTCTAAAATGAGTATATGAATATATAATATATTTGTAAGTTGTATACTATTTAGTTGGTGACGTTTTTATTTATGAACATATAATACATTTGTACGTTGTATGCTGTTTAGTTGGTAACGTTTTTATTTATCAGGGATTTTGATGCATTGCTTGCTTAGATGCTCCGATCTAATCCTTTCCCCAACTGTTTTCTGTAAATCACTGGTTCTTTTATACATTTGCAATTATATTGGGTTTTGTTCCCTAATAGTAAGCAGTTTTTCGAAAATGACCTAAAATTGATAACAAATATCTGTTTTTTTTTTCTTCCCTTTTTCGAAGGTAGGTATGTAAAAGTAAGAGTATATAGCTCATATCCCAACTAGGTATGTAAAAGCATAAAATCGATATTAGAACCATTTACAATTTGCAAACCAATATTCTGAATAATATATTCAATACTACCTTTTTGCACTAGCCCATACAAAGATGAACAAAACCACTATGCTTATTCCATATCTGTGATATCAAAATATCAACCCGAAAAGCTTCGCGATTTCCTTGTCAATTTCCTTTTGGGTCTACTGCACTATTAGACCATGCCAATCCTGTGGCTGCTTGTGCTTTTGTTTTGGAAACTTTACTTCATAATCATAAATTTATTATGGGGTATTATGGAATAACTAGTCTGAAATAGTTAAAAATTAATTTTAGATTATGTATTTAAAAATACCTCTCAGAATCATCAATTATGAACTATATATTTAAAATGACTTCAACACGTATAATCTGGAAAATTTTTTATAAATTTCATGGATTGCATTTTCTTTTTGGGAAAATTTAGGAACTTCGAAAAGTATTTTGTTATTATACTATAATGGGAGGTGTGGGAAGAAAATATAGATGTGAAAAAAGAAAATTTGTCTAAGATCAAATGGAAGGTGTGGGAAGAAATTATAGAAGTGCAGAAAACAATTACCTAAGATCAAATGGTTGCTGTGCTATGATTCGCAAAAGGTAAAAGACCATCGATCACTTTAGAATACCCAATCATCCTTAAAGATTACCTGTATTGTGTAATACAATAGGAGGAACTAGAAAATTTGAAATTACAATTAAGGAATGAGGTAAGTTTATCAACTGAGAAAGTTAATTTTGAAAGAAGGAATGTACATGACATTGTTATAATAAAAATGTTCATTGAAAAAATGGTTATATAATAAAAATGAATCTAACAACCTTGGTTCTTTCTAGAATTGCCATTTAGACATTCTTAAAATTATTTTTTTTCAAGCTCTGAATAAAGGTATCCCAAGATTTAACCGCTATCTTCAAAATAGAACTATGAATACATTGTAAAGTTTAAATATTATTTTTAATTTATGTAGAATGAAGGTGTTTTGATTTTGTTTTACGTAAAATAATTTAGTTATTTTTTGCTCTTTTAAAATTTAAAATCGTTAGTATTCTGTTTATAGTATTATTTTACGTCTGTTTATTATTTATGTTCCAAACAAAATGTTAATAATCATTTCAAATTATAATTACTAGTATTCTCATTTAATAACTTTATGCCACATGTTTTAAAAAAACTTAAAAAAATGTAAAATATATGTTATTTACATATTCTAAAATGGATATAAAAAACAAAATTGATGAATTCAAATTTAAAAATGGTAAAAATTTTAAAAAATATTTACAGGAATTAAAAACTAACTTAGAGTAATTTTTTTAGGAACCAATATATATATATATATATATATATATATATATATATATATATATATATATATATATATATTATATTCTAATTAACATATCTTATAAAAAACGTAGACATTTTTTTGTATCAGTAGAATCATGGTATACAAATTGTGAAGTAGGCTTAATGTTCAATGTACAGAGCCGAGGAATTTTTTCTCACAACTTCTAATTAAGAAAATAAAAATAAAAAGGCAAAAGCCCTACAGGTGATATAATGCAATTTTCTTCTGATAAAATCTTTTAAACACATTTTTTATGATTGATTAAAAATAATAAAATGAAGTGAAAATTCATTAAAAATAAAACTAACATAAAATTCCTAAAATTTTGAGTCAAAAAGAAAAAAAATGTGTGAAGGAGTGTATGATTAATTTTGTGTATATGTAGAGCATAATATTAGCCCTAGAAGCAACTCTGGGGTTGAACTACACCGATTGTGGTTCCACCAGCGTGATTGCACATGGCTTGAGGAGGTTGGTTCTTGTAAAAGAGTTTCACGTCCTCCATTGTTATTCTTTCACATGGCTCCTCAGCACTGCAGTCAAATTTCACAGCAACAAGAGTTGCAGATGTTCCATGAATGTCTTTGTACGAAACATCACTGATCTTCACCCCAGAGGCCTGTAAGATTGAGAAAAAGAACCATAAACTTGAAGAAGACAGAAGAAGATTTTGCAAATGTTATCAAGTTGAAGCAACATTCACGTTCCACTTGAGAAGATACAAGACAAAGGGTCGAGCACCAACAAACTTTAAATCAGAATTGAATCTTCCTTATTTTGTTTCTATGTTTTAAAGTTTCCATGTGTTGGCACTTTCATATTCAATTAGGTTAAATGTCATTCAACAAATTGTGTTGTTTGACCCTTTTATATTGTGAAAAAATTGATTTTTTTCTTTAAAAAAAACACTTATTCCTCTTGGTACCAAGTAGCTGATTTAATTAATGAAAGCAAAATTATCCAGAGAGGGAAATTCACCTGACTAGGGCACCCAGTGCGATAAGGGCAATAATTTTGGTCAATTAGAATGGGATTTTGAACATAACTCATGATTGCATGTTCAAAATGAACATCCTCCACAAATCCACTGGTAGGTCTTCCCCACGACTTTATTCTAAAACCATTTTGAGTTTTAGAGAATGTTGTCTTTATAACTGTCACATTTTTCACACCAGGTTCGTCCAAGTCCCATCCCAAGCTTCCAATGCTGTCAAATTTACAAAACAATCATAAAACTAATTAGTATTCTAATGCCAAAAACCCTAACCCTATTATAAACTCAAATAAAAAACCAAACTTTACATTTCATCTTAAAAATATGAACACATTAAGTAAAACTTTAATTGAATTGAATAATTTTATTCGAAACAGTATCATTTTACAAGAGAAAGAAAAATAAACTGTCATAATCTATAAAATATATTAAAGAAGATAAAAAAAAATTAACAATTATTTGAAGTTTACATAATAACTATGAGATGAAAAAAATTAAAATATTTTATATTTCTTAAAAACAATTATATTAAAAAAAATAATCTTTATTTTTTTTATTAAAACAGTTTAACCCATTCAGTTTTATCGATTATATCAATTTTTAGACAGGTTAAACCCGTAGTTCCAACTGTGTAAAATATCAATACATAAAAATATTAAATTTAAAAGTTTGAAAATCACAATCATATTTTCTATATGTTAACCTTAACTTCTTGTTGAAAAAGGACATTTCACTAAACATGATCCGTGTACTAGGTACTTTGTATTAATAGAATTTAATAGTACGATGATAAAAAGAAACATAAAACTTAAAATGAGAGGAAACAAAAACCAACCTTATCCCATGACCTGGTCCACATGCAACATCCTCAATCCACAAGTTTTTAGAGCCAGGCCCAACAGAGATGCAATCATCTCCAGTTCGAATTCTGGGTTTGAGGATGGTGATGTCGGTGGAGAACTGGACGTGGATGCCGTCGGTGTTAGGGCTGTTTCCATCAGCCATCAGCTTCACTCCATGAATTTTCACGTTGTGGCATCCATTGATGAGTATGTGAAACAGTTGACTATTAAGAGAAGTCAACCCAGTTATCACAATGTGCTCAGAGTTTGTCAATCCAAGTGTCTGTTTGTACGTTAATTAACACAAAAAATTATATAATTTTCATCAATTAATCACCCCACACAAATAAACAAAGAATGTAATGTAGTGATATATACTTCTTCTGATTCATAATTCTGAATCTTATAATTATAAGATTAGAATAAGAAAATTCTCAGACACATTTAATAAGAAAATGGCACATTAACATTTTTTTCCCATGATTTTTTTTTATATAGTTTTGCAAAATAGTTTGTATAACTAACGTTGTTTAGATATAAATTATCAGCATCCTTCTTTTTTTCTTTTTTGAATCACAACTCTCCTTTTTTCGATTATAAAAAATGTTGCATAAAATGTTTAATGAATATTAATACCAGTATGATTAACATAATTAAAGAGATTTATTATAGATAAAAAAGGGAACATATATAAAAAAATTTGACAAAATTTTAGGAAATGTCAAATTTACTATTTTGTTATCACTTGACATATATATCACTAAGTACTTCCTAAAAATTATAAAAAATATTTAAATATTTTTAAATATATTTAGTTTCAAGTTTTTATTTTGATTATCATTTTTAAATTTTTTTTGAAATAGTCTTCAGTTACATAATCCACCTTCAACTACGAATTTAAAATAAGATATATGCATGATGCAGCATGCTTACGTTTAATAAGCATTTTGTAACTTCATTTTAAAAGACTAACTTTTTAATTCATCATAAACGATTAACAAACATTAAAAAGAATTTAGTCACTATCACTTTCAGTGGGTTTGGTAAAAAAAAAAAAGAGAGAGTAAAAATAACATGGATGATAGGGAAACAAAGAAACAAAAATGAATCAAAATAAAAATACAGGTTTAAAACAATACAGAAAAAAAAATAGAGAAACTCTACTTTGTGTGTGTTTTAGAATCAAAAGAAATAATACTTTCTTATAAATTAAAAAGAAGTTTTTTAGAAAAAGAAAAATCTCATTTAATAGTTTCTCCAAAACGATAATTTTAGTTTATGAACATATTATTTTATTTTGTTCATGTTAAGGGAGAATTTGACTGAAATGGGTTGAATAGTGTTGAGTTGGAATGTTCTTGGGACATGTTGAAACAAAAATGTTGACGAGCATTGAGACACGATACGATGTGTGCATGTAACATACCGCGGCTCCAATGGGGCAATTGAGGGAGGGTTTGTTCTTGCAATTCCACAAGAAAGATCCTCGAGCATCAAACTCTCCGCCATGAATGGAAACCCCTTTAACTTGATCGAACGTGAACCAATGCAGAGCGTTTCCGACGAAGGTGTATTGAGAAGGAGCGAGCAAGGTGGCGCGAATGGTTATGGAGATGGCATTGTTGGAGCATGGCCCTCTGAACGTGACGGCTCTTCCTATCAAGAACTCCCCTTGTGGGACGTGAATGCTTGAGGGTTTGGGTGAGGCACAAGCTTTGTCCCACGCACTAAGAAAGGCATTGGTTGCATCGGTTGTGCCATCGGGTATGGCTCCAAAGTCTAGCACATTGTAGGAGGTCGATTTGGCTAGGGATGGAGTGACCAAGGAACATGGGAAGAGGAAGAGGAAAGAGAATGTGATGAGAAGAGAAAGAGAAGTGGGTGGAGGTGATGATGATGGTGGTGGTGGATTTGGCATTTTGATAATTGATGAGGGTATTGTTTGGAGTGTGGAAGAATGTTTAAGCTAGAAGATTAAGAGGTAGTGGTGAAGGTGAGGGAACGGTTTGTGGAGGATATTTATAAGCTATGGAGTTTTGTACTTCCTTTTTATGTCTTTTACAGAAACTTACTATGTGCCTCTTATATATGTGTTTTTATTTTTTAAAATTCAGTTCATAAAAGAGGGAGAGAGAAAATTAGTGAAGGTTAATAAATACGAAATTAGGGTTATAATATATATATATATATATATATATATATATATATTACTTTTTAAAAGTAAATAGAAGAATAATAATCAACTTTATATTTGACATTTTGGTTTTCATACAATAAAAATATATTTCTTCTAAATTATTTTCGATTTGTATTCATTGAAAATAATGTTTAGAATTAAAAATAGAGATATTTTTAATATATTAAATGAGGTTTAACAAATTGATATATATAAGTTTATTATTATTTTATTCATATTTGAGTCAGATTAAAACGGATTCGTCGCTGGTAAAGTTAAAAATATGAATGGAGAATAATTTTTAATTGAATTTAATAAAATAATATTTTTATAATATAATAAATATATAATAATTTTTTTAATAATATTATTATTTTATAAAATAAAAATAAAAATAAATATTATTATAATTATTGTAAATTATAATAAAAATTATAAATATAAAATATATTAAAAAAATATAAGATAAATAATTTTTAAAATAATATAATAAAATAATTATTATTTAAAGTTGATGTAATTAATATAAGATTAAAAAAATAAAATATATTATTTATTTTTATAGAATAAATTATATTAAATGTTTTTTTACCAAAATTAATTTACCTACAAACTCAATGAATTTTTCCTGTTTTACTGATATTTTTTTATTCTAATTTAATTTAATTAAAATCTGATTTTTTTTAGATTAGTTTGATTTTTAAAACAATGATATGTATAAAGTATTATACTATAGGCGTAAAATAATTAAAATAAATGTGAAGACAAAAAGGTGAGTGTAGTGATTGTATATTCCTAGAAGAAAGAGAAACCTATTTAGCATTTGTCTTTATGTATTTTAATAAAAATAAAGAAGGAGAGGATAAATACAAAATGGGAGTGTAAGAAAGTAGTGAGTTTTAGTTAGTAATTCTGAGAAAGTTAAAGTGGAAATGTTTAAATTTAAAGAAAAATATAAATCTATTTAGGTAATTAATTAATTAATTAGATTTCTCTTTTTTTTTAATATTTAAAATCGATGTCACATTTTGTAAAATAATGATTTGTATATATAATAAAATGGTCCCCATCTTCCTTCATATCTCATGAATATCACTATTTTGTCTTACATCACAAGAACCAAATAAAAATGCATGCCCTTATCATCATACATATTTTCATACAATTTTCTGTACACTAACATCTACTTCACCAACATAAGACCGTACCATCCTTAGAATTTCATTTCAATACATGCACAAAGCATTAATTATTAATTCCCACGTGTTCAAGGACTACAATGCCAACCCAACCCTATCACTCTCTATAAAATCATGTGATCAGAATTAAATTTATGTTGCAGGTTTAATTATATTTTTAATTCTTATAATTTGAGGTAATCATAATTTTTATTTTTTTATATTAAAAAAATATAATTTTAACCCTACCATGAATATATATATAAGGTGTTGTGAACTGAGACCTTAAAAAAGGGAAAAAATGATTTAGATATTGATTTTATAAAAAAACATACAAATTGGTCAACGAATCAATGCAATTTAATGATGAAATAATATCATATTAAGTATTAAATTGATCAATATATAAAGTTTCAAATTAATGATAAAATGGTTTTATGAAATTTAGTAACAAAGCGTAATTGTTGCATTTTCATAGATTTGGAAACTTTACTTGGTCATCTAATTTATAAAACTTACATGAAAATTTATTTATTTTTTTATTGATTTACGCATGGCTATTAGAATTGAAAACACACATTATAATTTACCAAAAAAATCATGTGACCGTACCAAGTTTACGATAGGCTCATGCAAACCATATATTTTTCTCACATTCTTATTGTATCTACTGAAAGAGATCTAAAAAAATCATGATCAGAGACCAAGTCTACGGTAGGAGCAACTCATTCAAACCACATTTTTTTCTTCAAAATCATGAGTCTGTGTCTGCCTGCAAGTACACATAGGCAAAGAAGAAGTATTATTTGTCATTATTGGACTAGAGAAACCTCGTGAAAACAGAAACATCCAAGTGGGTAACTTCGTAACATGCATGCATATTAATGCAGATTCTTCATTTGGTGGCTACAAGTTCACAACATTGACGGCTTCAGTGTGATGTAACACTTTCCTCTGTTGTTACTTAGTTCTCACCTCTTATACCATTGTTATAAGGCTATAAAATGTCATAAATGGTTTTTGGCACCATTGTGTCTCTTCAACATCCATGTACTTCCAGCTAATTAATATTAGAAACCTAATTTCTGTTCACAGTTTACAAGCTTTAACCATTTCAAAAAGTTAGAAGACTAAAACAAAAATTGATTAATTATAGTATTACATAGTAAACTTAATATAAATTTTCTTTAAGACTGCAAAATTTCTTGACATGGTACCTTGTCCAGTCATTAAGACTGCAAAATTTCTTGACATGGTACCTTGTCCAGTCATCACAGAAAGAAAACAAAGATATTTTTTTAGTTTCAGTGCTTAAACTTATTGTCAATGAGGTAATCTTACCCTACTTTGCAGCAATTAACACCTTTATTGGGAAATTGTTCTTTCAGTACCAAGACGTACCTGCTGTGCAGAAAATAAACACGTGTCCTCAGGACAGCAGCACAAGAATTGCATAGTTTGTATCACACATTATCAAGTTAACTGATGCATCCTTGCACTACTTGAAGTAGTACATCAAGCATGACTCTTGGTCTTCTTTTTAACTATTAAATGCATAAAACAAATTATATAAGAATCACGATTAATTAGCATCCTAACTCACGGTTAAGTGGTATCGAATTCACCAGAAATTGATTTGCATAGTGTTTTACTAGTTAATTACTCATGAATCTATTGATACAATCCTAATTATTATGCGACCAAACTCCTCAGTTCAGCATTGGGACATAAAAACAGAGTTGGCAGTAGGTAATCTCGCCTTACATCCTTCAAATAACACCACACAAAGTTTGTAACTACTTAAATGGACACTACGTCGCTTGATACTACAGTAACAAATCGATACACCAAACCACCCACTTCAAGCATTAAATTAATTATAAATTTGGGTATCATAGGAAGCAGAAACTATATTTGGACGAGGGAACAACAACGAGTAACTTATATTGTAAAACCATAAAGTATCAACAGAACAATACCCTTCTTGACACTTAAATCACCCAGAAATTTATGGCGAGGTGTCATTTTCATGAGTGGCGGATCTTGACCATTGATATTGGGAGAAGCCAAATAATATATTATTAATAAATAATAAATATAAAATAATATATTATTAATAAATAATAAATAAATATAAAAGGAATAAAGAAGATGAAAGGGTAAAAGGATAAAATTGTAGATATATATTTAAATATATTAAATTATCATTAAGTTTGAGGGACAAAGTCATAAATTACATGGGAGTTACAAAATTGAGGAAGAGCTGAGAGGATAGAATTGTAAATATACAAATAAATATATTAAATGTTTATTAAGTTTGGATGGGTCAAAATCATAAATTACATGGAAGTTATAAAACTTTGAGGAGCCATGACCCCCTCAGCTCCCAAGAAGATCCGCCACTGATTTTCATCATGTTTACAAGTACGGTCACATGACGCAGGTCAAAGCTTTCCTTTTTTTCTTTAAAACTTAGAATTATGTTACGAATTTCCTCGGCGTTACATGTCACTTATGTTAGTACAATTTGAGTACTGGTATATAACTGAATTAGAAAGGAATTGTAGCAAATTACGGCATTGCTTGTTTTTACTTTATAATGTGTGATTAATATTAATTTAAACTCGGACCCTTGCAAACTATGTCCCATGGTTTAAATTTATTCTACAATTTTGTTTAAATTTAAAACAATTGAGCACTATACATCATATGATTCCATCGAAAGTAAAAGTGGATAAAGCATTCACCTTCAAACATGAGGGGAAAAATATTTAAATATGTATGGGCTTTTTCTACATAGAAGTTCAGAGGTAGATAGGTCTTAATACTGCAATTAATGTATGCCTATTTCCTACCAATGATATCAATAGCAGGTATGAATTTCGAGAACATTTCATTGACGCGGCTTGTCCTACCAACTAAGACAACCCTCTCATTTGCTATAACAAAATTTAATATACATTAAAATATATTATGATTACTTGAATGAATTGAAAAAGCTGACTGTGTCATTGAGGGCATGGATGAAGTAGTCCACATCTTCCTTTGTGTTGTAGAAATAGAGACTTGCGCGTGCACTAGAGCTGACTCCTAAAGAGCGATGGAGGGGTTGGGCACAATGGTGACCTGATCTGATAGCCACTCCATGCTGAAATGATACACTATCAATCAATTACATCAAAGAAACTTTCCCAACAACTTTAACAGATAACCCAATTTCTTCCACAAAATTCAGGCTTTATGACCAATGATTTATATAGAATAAACAGTCTCAAGACCAAGATAATGCATCTGGGGATATTCTTTTATACTCTTACCTGTTGGTCCAGAAATGTCGCAAGATCAGTGGGGTGCAAATTCTCAACATTGAAAGAACAAAGAGCAGCTCGTTGGACTTTTTCTGAAGGCGCAGGCCCATAGATGCGAATATTTGGTACTGAAAGAAGCCTTTCGTACAGATATCTACCTAGCTCCACCTATGAAAATTTGATGTTTAGTAAATGTTCATAGAATAAGAATATAATTTATCTCACTAATGAAAAACACCACAAATTTTATAGATGA